TTATTATTATTATTATTATTATTATTATTATTATTATTATTATTATTGTTCTTACTATTATTATTTTTTTTTAACGTTTAGATCGTATGAAATATATATCCTTATATACGAGTACTATATGTATACAATAAAATATATATTTATTATTAATTATTATCTACTTTATATTATGGCGTGCAGTACGTTATGTTTGCAATTTTATTAACTATTCTATTCTTCGCTTATTTATATTATATCGTATATATTATACATGTATTAATCAGTGGCGTGGCAAACTCAAATATTATCAGAAGCATTCATTTTTTCCCAATACTTAACCCAATACATCCACTCATCATTCGCTAGTATACAATATCATTTCTTTATTTTTCGTTTAAAAATGAGCATATAGGTGGAATGTTTCAATGAAAGAAAGAGATTCTTTTAAAAAAATAAGATATTCAAATAATTTTTTTTTTTTAATTGTTGTAATTTAGAATATAATAATTTTATAGAGTGAAATTGTCTCTAAACATTTATATTATAGCACTTTTTACACATAACATTTTAAAAATATTTTTAGTCTTTGAGTTATTAGATAAAAATAAATTATCAAAAATCTTAACGATTTAATAAAAGTAAAATTAGCTTTTATAGCAGTTAAAAATATCAAAATTTCCTAACTACAATTCTTTTTTAAAAATGTTTTAAGTATAGATTTTAAAGATACAAAAATAAGAAAATTAAAAAAAAAAAAAGGTAGAAAAGTAGATACCACTTCACTGTACAGGTTGTATCGAATGGCGGACACTGTAATGGATATTTTAAATTTGAATCCAATGATTAATTATTATAACAATACAGTGTATACAATATACTAATAGTACTTATATACAAAAAACAATTCTGAGCAAAACGGTTAGTCAGCTTATATCACTAAGTATTTTTCGTGAAATTGTATTTTTTGATATCGATATTAAAGCAATAATTACTTGAATATCAATATCAAAAAATGATTTATAATATACATCTAGTTTTATGGTAAGCTGTTATAATTTTTTTCAAAAAAATTGTATTTATTATATTATTAAAATCGTATTTACCTATATATTATTAATACTCTATCGTTTATACCATATTATATGATTGTTATAAACTTTAAAGTTCTAAAACTTGATAAAATTGAAAACCTAAAACTTAATATATTTTCTCTAAATTGACTTAAATGTAATAACAAAGATTAAACTTTAAAAACTCATTAAATACAAAAATAAAATATTATGATATGTAAACTTCCAATTCAAAAATATGTAATACACTAAAACTATTTTTTATTAGTTTTATCAATGTATCACATGAATGTAATTAGTTATGTATAATGAAGTATGAACTTTAAATGTATATTTGAGTACGTATTTGTTAACTTGTTATCAATAACCGGCTATCACTTATCAATATCTTATTATACATTATTTTTCCTACATTCATTATATATTAAAATAAAAAAATGTCTACCTAATATTAACCACCCACCAAAGTAACACTCAGATGTGGCCACCGCTTGAATATCTTTTCGACACGCCACTGTATTGATGTTTTATAGTCAAATTCGGTTCGCCTACACCACAATATAATATTATATCATTAAATATTATTGTATTATTGAACAAAATATGTTCTCGTTCTTCTTCTTAAGTAATGCACGAGTAGTGTTATTCTACCTTTATATAAATAAATAAGTGTGTATCATCACGTCGTTTACGTATATAAAATAGTCCTAACTATATTTATGGCTAGAGCCCGGAACTTGATAACCTAAAATTTATGAAAAATACATAAAATGATAAAATGTTAAAAAATAATTCAAAATATTAAAAATACAAAAAAGCTAAATTACAAAATTACAAACAATTAATTTACAAGCGAATACATATAATATGCTATGGAAATTTTTTCTGATTATTAAATGTGTTATATGGACAGTTAAAGTATACATAATGTTTTCAAATAAGTTAAAAGGTCAGTTAAAAAGGTTTTAAATGCAGAAAAACTGCTTTCAACTTCCACAGATATGATGGGCGCATATTTAAAATAAGTGATGCCATCATCGTTCATATTCTCCGGCAAGCCATTTTTTGACACTTCTTATCCTTTCAGTATTTTCGAAATAATTTTCATTGTTATATATCCACTACTTTTTTATAAGACAGCTGAAATTTAATTTTGAATTTCGCGTCCAACAATACTGCGAACTAGTTGAATTTAATTTTTCTCTTCTTCTTCGACTTTTATAGCATCAGAAAAGTATATTTTTGAAAATTCCAATTGTGTAATTGATTCTGATAGTAAAACAAAATTTGATTTAATAAAAATGTAATGATTCCAATTGTGAATCAACCAATAAATCAACTACTTTTTCAATGGAAATTACATTATGACTGTCCAGTTTTATATTGAAATATTCACAACAATAAAAGGCTGTAGTTACCCGTGTTTCACATCTGGTTAACAAAGGTGCTATTTCTTTAAATATTTTAAATTTAGCAAGAGCCTTCAGAAATATTTTTATACAATTTTAAATGAGTTGATCATAAAAAATATTATTTCCGAACTTTTTTACAAGTTAATTTAAACGTGAGTTATTGATTTTCTTATATTTAGGTATTTTATAAGATAAATTTTAAATTAGAAATATTTATAACGTCATAGTCGTTTGTACTTTACTATCAAATACAAATTAAAACAATTCCTAGCAAAAACACACAAATAAAATATTGTGGGTTTGCAATTATATGAACCGATAAGCACTAGCCAACGCAGTGATCGCGTTTTCACGTTAAATATAGACGTATATAATATTATAATCCATATATTTTCAAAAGTAATACAAATATACCTATAAAAGATAGAAAAATGAATAAAATGCGCTAAAATAGCTAAAAATTACCTACAAACCAAGAATTAGCGAAAAACTACAAAACACTACAAAATAAAATTTATATCATTGAATTCTGCGTGACATACCTTAAATTTCTAAACAGACAAGTTTCAAATATAAGCATTAAAAAAAAAAATACAAATGTATCAAGTTCCGGACCCTAATTATGACGAAAAAGTAGATGTATAGTAGTATGTATATTACCCGTAGCGATTTGTAATACTGAATATTGATGTTGCGGTTAATAATATATTTTATCCGATTGTTTGTGCATATGTATCTTTTAGTAATGACTTTTAAAAATAATAATATATCGATTGTCTCACCGTGTTTGTCCTCCTATATACTTACGTTTACCAACTTTAAACATATACTTAACTATTTGAACGTTTAATTGAAATTAATTATAAGATTTTTAATATATTTAAATAAATTATCTACTAATACCCTCACATGAATAAATATTTAAGTTATTTTATTTAGAGTTGGTGGTAAACAATCTGAAGGTTACTATAAATTCATAATTTGTAACAAAGTAAACTAATATATTACCTACGTATATACGTAAGATCATTCAAAACGGTAAAAATTGGAAAAAAGTTTATCCACTGGGACAAACGTGGCGAGCTATCCTGTACACATTCTGTAAAACTAAATTACTTTTTATCCCGAACGAAATGCCGATTATTATGTAGTAAAATAGAATAGTAACAATGTAACAATGTAAAAAAAGTCATACGATACGCCTATATGTAAATCATATGCTCGTAAGTTTATTACGCGTTTTTTTATAAAAATTTAATATAACGATTTCGATCTCGCCGATCAAATCAAAGTTACGACTTTAGGCTTCTATGCACACCAAAATACAATAAAATACACTGTGATTTGTGTGTGCTTGCGCATGCGTGAATCAACATAAATACCTATATTGTACACTGTACAGGCAATAAGTAATAACAAATTTCTAATTTTTTCCACAGTATATAAAACAAACGTGATCGATCTGTTTTGAAATAAATTTTAGTCGACTGCACAAAAATATATATGTCGAGTAATATGATTTTGTCACACTCTTGTTCCGCGCAAGAGCCGCGCGTAAAACGCTATTCATTTTTATTTGTTTATTAGTTATAACTTATAAGAAACATCAAATTGCGTTTGATAAAGTATATTATAGTAAGTACAGACGGCGAGAGTGAAAAATAAAAATAAAAACGAAATGTGTATGAGTCGGTAGAGGAGGAACGCGGAGGAGATGAGGACAACGACGGTGACGAGTTTATGCGATTCAGTTTATGACCGGAATTCCGTATATTTTGTTTTCCACAGAGATAACCTTAGCAGCGGGGGTGCGGACGAGTGCGGCGAACCGCAGCTACCCACAATGATGGCGGACGACGTGTGCCCGTGGGACATAGCCGACGGTGGAGGCGACAAGAGCAAACGGTCGCTGCCCACGTCCATAGCCGAAGAGCGCGAGCGCCGGATGTCCACGTCGTCTTCGCGGAAAAACTCGGGCAGCGCGGCGTACGATTCGGCGGCGAGCGCGGACGAGAGCCAATCCGATTCGATGGCCAGCCGTCTGCGGCGGAGTTGCGGTCTGGGCGGCGGCGGCGGCGTGGACAGGCGACGCGGTTCGTCGGCCGCGTGCACGCCACAGCAGACGGTCGACCGGCCGTCGGTGTCGTCGGCCGAGGACTTTGACATCGGACCGTCGCCCGAGAGCAGGTCGCCCGAAAAGCACGTGCCGACGTCGCCGCACGAACCGGCCGGGACCGGGACGACGTCGCTGGACGACAAGTCGAACCGGAAGAAGCTACTGAAATCGCTGTCGTTGGCGAGGAAGCAGAGCGTCACTCCCGTCATTAACGTCAGCTCGGTGGACAGGGACAACGGGTGCGATCGGACAGCCGCGGACGTCGCCGACGAAACGGCGGCCATCGCGGTCCCGGCGGCCGAGTGCGTCACCTCCGCCTCCGGTACAGCGTCTGGTGGCGGAGGCGGTCGTACGCCGGAACCCGTAGCGTGCTGCAGCGGAGCGGAAGTAGCCACGACGACTGCAACTGCAGCCGCGTCCATCAGCGACGGTAACGACGTGTGTCCGTGGGAAGACGAGTGAGTTGACGACCAACACCAAATCCTTAGTGTTTTCCGTTACCGCGATTTTGTGGTGATGGGTGTGCAATTGCGTCTAGTCCTATAGCCTGATCGATCGAAACCCATTCGATGCATTCCCACTTAAAATAATTTTTTTTCGAAAACATCGTTTTTTTTTTTTTGTTTTTTTATGCTGTTTTGAAAATAGCGAGTGGTCTAAATAACAATTAAAACTCTTTTCAAATGAGAACCTTTTTTTTTTCTACAAATTATATATTTTTTTAAATATTTATGCCTTGTACTAGTTGTACTACGACAAATAAGATATAAAATAACATCTATTTTACTCATCTATGTTTATTCGTGTACCTACTTATTAGGTATTATGTGTTCGGAAAACGTTTACAAATTATAAAATACTCATACTTAATACATTTTTGAAATATAATTTCATCTGTAAGAGTTATAGAACATCGAGTAGGTATTATTGTAAAAATACAAGTTCTCATTTGAAAAAAAAAGTTTACACCGTCACAGAAAACCCATTACACATTTAATACCATAAAAAATTCCAGTATTTGCAAATTTGGTCATTATAATACCTATTACATTGTTGAAAATGCCAAAAAAATCAGAATTAAAATAATGTTACAATTTATTAAGGATAAAATGTTAGTGAGCGAACTCAGTAAATTACTCCGTTTTTTTTTTTTTTTTAAGAAAAAAAATACTGGTTGGGTTCGACCTCTTCTTATAAAAAATTTGGGCATCGTCCATTTGCGCCAAAATAAAAAAGATATATTTTTTCGACAGCCCATTCGCCCCAAATTTACCTGATCACATATTCGTTTAGGGTAGCAAGAAAACTGTAAGGTTTTACGCATATTTTCACTACTGAATTCTCCGAAAACGATGATTAAAATAATAGTAATTTAATATACTGCCTGGTGTCTCACCGTGCCGGAAGACCTATGCCACATCCATTCTGTATAAATAGTAGTCCGCCGTTTCTTAAATTTTATTACATCGTTTATGATACCAATACACCATACATATTACTTAAAATCTACATAAAATGCTATGTATTTAATATGGTTTTTGATGAAATACGAATTTTTCGTTTTCTTCTTTTTTTCAGACACAACCAAGATAAAGGCGGCCGATTTTTAAAGGTATACGAGACCTACGGTTTTCTCTGAATAACGTCAGCGCACATTCCAAATTCTATTATACGTTGTGTAAATATACGCATACATTATACTATACTTCTCGTATATTATATACATATAAAGTATAAATATATTTATATATATATACATATTATAAAGTTTTAGCGTTTTACCTATATATATATATATATAAATTCTTATATTTATTCATCGCCAAACGAATGTTATTTTTTTTTTATATTTATTTATGCGTGATAAAATATGTAAAACTTAATAAAAATAAAACCAGATCGATTTTTTCAGACTCGGTCTGTACGTTCAATATTTATTCAGATTATTACTAAATAAACATAAATTATATTCTAATGATAACTATAATTTTTAAAATGTAATAATTATAAATTATAATAATAATACATGTTATGCGATCGTAAAAGTATTAATAATGCGATAAGCATTTCGTTAAAATGCTATACAAAATATGTCACGACTCGAATATAAGTGTTTAACACACAACTGACAGTAATTTATTTGGTTTTTATACATATTTGATATTATATGATATAATAAAATATATGTACCATTATATGTATAAGTTACAGCTATAACGTATGTATTTTATAATTAAGCTAATAATAATTAGTTACAAATAATTGTATATCGTATTGTATAATATTATCTAACAATTTTTTTTTTTTTTTTTTTTTTTAACATAATTTTTTCGAATAAACAATTTTATTGATTTACTAAACAATTAATAACGATTACGTGTACAGCAATATCACAATTTATTCTAATCAATTTAATTCAACTTTATAATACAGTAGGTTCTTATTATGTCAAACAACAATATCTTGAACTTTTCACGATATCTTTAAAAAATCGAAATCTCTTTAAAATTTCTAATTACACTAAAATACCGTTAAAATTAATAAAACTCTTTATTCTGAACTTTGTTCTGTACCTCTTTTATATTCGACATAATGAGAGTTTACTATATTAGCGTATTCAATTAACGTAATTTAATAATGTCAGCAAATTCCAATACATTCTTTTCAGAAAATTTTATCTGGTACTCGTTTGTAAAAAATTCAATTTTTTATTCATAAATAACGAACATTAAAAGATATGAAAACAATACTAAAAATGTTAACACCTAACCAAAAATAATGATGATATTTATTAAATCCATATGATTGTCAACACAAGTAATAAAAAATTGAAAAGGTAGCAAATTATGTTTAGTACCTAATATGATTAAAGACTTCATAAACAATATAAATTAATATACACAGAAACATATAATATAAAAGACGGACATAGATAGCGACCAAATATAAGTTTTAAAATCTTGACCTAAATACAATAAAATCAAAAACTGGGCACAGTTGAGGTTGAGTAAATTGAGCCCATACTCATTTCAACTCTACTTAGTTTTATATATTCAATTATTTGACAAACTCAAACATAAATACGGTTTAAATTTAATATTATAACAATGCTTTTCATATTATATAATTATATTATAATCTTCGTGTTATTTAATGTTTTGTCACGTTTTACAAGAAAAAAATCATGGGGAATTAAATTATTATAGATATACTAGATAATATTTTACACTTATCGCGAAACTCACCCAATATTATATTGTAATACTCTCTTACACTGCGTTTTGGCTTATATTATCCAAAGTGATTTATTAAACATTTATTATATTCTATCTAATATTAATACAAATATATCTATATATATTATATCTTATATACTTAATAATTTAGGTTCTTAGATTTATATTATTAATACTTTAATAATTAAGCGTATGTCATTTTAATATCATAATAATCTACTTTTTAATATATTAATAATAGATATATACTATATATTAATGTGTTAATCATACGAATATTTTGAATCTACATACATTATTTATTTAATTAAGTTTAAGAATTAACAATATTATACTATAGATAGTAAATAATTATATAGCATTTTTGTTTGAGTTTGTCAAAATACAAATTATTTCCATATTAAGTATATCAAACACTCAAATACTTTTTCATTATAATATAAAACACGTCATTTCTTGTACCAACTTATTTTGTTACGAATTCACTCAATGACATGTATTTTAAACTAGTTTCTTTAAGAAAAAAAAAATGAATTATACATTTGAGTACCGGTGTTAAAATGTCATAAATTTGTGAATATAATAATCTGTAAGAAAAACAATTGACTTATTTATTAAAAATTTTGTTTATTAGTTAAACAATTTTTATTTAGTAAATGTAAGTGCAAATATTTTACTAAATACTATAATTTAAGTTAAAATTGTGATAAATTGTTTATGAAATTTTTAAGATTTATGTAATAGTTCATAGAAATAAATAACGTATTTATACCAAATAAAAGATATTATATTATAAAATACAAATTTTTGTAACGCGCATACCATTTTAAATGGATTTGTAGACACAAAATTGTGGTTGTTCAATAAATTTAAATTTAAAACTTAAACAAATCGTAATATGCACAAACTACATAGATATGTTACTTAGGTTGCATATCTTGATATAATTGTCAAGTATACAACGATGTTCTATACGAAGTTTTAAATAGCCTATTTACTATTTAGGAGAAAATATATTTTATTTTAGTTTACATATTTATTAATGTCTTAGATTTAGTTATGATAGTGATCATATTTTGTAGGTATAATAACATATTGTACCTATTAACTTATTAAATAAATTACATATTGTGAACCTTCTGTTTTATTATTATTTCATTATACATTCTTCGTCATTTTTACTATATCTAAATTTTAATATTACTATAATTGTCATTTTATTTAATACATAATACCTAATGTTCATTAATTCAATAAAATATGCTTTTACAACAATATAAAATTGTGTTAAATGTGAATGCGATAAAAAAAAAAACTGAACAAGTCCTTTAATATAAAAATGTAATCAATTGATAATAAAAAATGCCATTGATTAGTACGAGAAAATTAGACCAAAGCTGCATGTATACCATTTATCTTACACTACAAAATCTATGAAGTATACACATAATATCATACATTTATAATACAATTAACAAAAGTTCCCAATCCCAATAGCCTAAGGTTACGGACCCCTAACTAATACTTAAATTGGAGCGGTGAACAATTTGTCTTATATTATTTTAATGGAAGTTATTCGCATTATAGGCATATAGGTATAAGTAAATATATTTCAATTTTATTTAACATGAATTAGGGATTAATTATTTACCTTGGACATTTGTATGTTTTTATCCTCAAGTAGAAATAAGAAATATTAATTCACATTACAAATTATCTAATAAAAAAAATTATCTAAAATAATAAAATCTTTCAAAAACAGAGTTGAACTGCTCGTGTAGAGTTTTAAGGATGTATATATATACTTATGAGATGATTTTATAAACATTTCAAGAAAAGTCATATGCCCGAAATCTGTATAAAAATACGGAAAAATATAGATAATAAACTAGTACCCAACACAATTATAAAATAAAAAAAAAAAAAAAGTCAATTTTTTAGAAAGCCTTGATAATCTTGTATTTTTGTCTTTTTGTACAGATTTTGGACAGATGACTTTTCTTGAAATGTTTATGAAATCATCTCACAAGTATATACATCCTTAAAACTCTACAAAGAGCAGTTCAACTTCGTTTTTGAAAGATTTGATACTTGTTTGTTATCAACCCGCTATAAATAAAATAAACAATATAATAAATAAATAAATTATGTATATGATTAATAATAAAATATATTTTAAATAAAAATTAAAAAATATATTTATAAATAAAGTAAGTAAAAGAAATGCATAAGTATTTAAGTATAATATATGTATATTTGATCATAATAATTATAATGAAGGCCAGAACTTGAGTATGCCTTTTAAAATGGTTTCAAATGAGTCTTATTCTAGAGACGTGTTCTCCACATGAATTCTGCTAAATACGATTCCAGAAAATTTCATTTAGTTTCCCGACACTTTTTATTTTCCCACTTAGAAGAACCACACAACCTCTCGATGTTCTGTGTGTGTGCCCTGTGTCCGAAACAACAAAATTATAGGGATGGTTAACCGTAATATGTTGGAATCTTGATTGCTGCAAATTATTATATAAGCTTTCCAACAATCTGGTAAAATTATTGAGCCTGATCTTAAATATTTCTTTATTATAGGTAATGAAATTGTTCGTATTGGTTTGAAGTAGGTACGAAAGCCAACAACGCACTAATATAGATATTATGATATAAAATGTAGTTTTCTCATTTTCTAATATAGATATTCATCACGAGCTAAATACGATGACTGTAAGAACAGTAACGGTACCTACACTATATGGCGGGGCGATAATAAACAAGTACCTATGAATATGAATCATCTTGGTAAAAGTTCAATTCTATTCGCGTGTTAATTAGACAATGATCCAAATAATGATTTTATTCGAGTTTACAAGGGAAATTATTACCTAAGAGATTAGATTCAAATTCACAAACGACCTTTGATAAAAAGCATTTTCATAAAGCGAACTAAGAAAATTCTAGACACTTTATCGCGTTATCTACGTATACGTTATCCACCAGCTACGGTTGGTGTATACTATATACAATCAGTAGTATACATTTTTATTTTATTTTTTTGAGGGAGGAAACTGGTCACCCAAACCTGGATTTAAAAAAAAATAGCCCAATGTATTAATATTTCACTCATTCCTATCAAAATATTTATATCTATATACCAAAAGTGAAATTAATCTTATTAAATCCAACGATACATTTCGAAATATATTTTTAAGCTAAGTTTACAGTTCATTCAGAAATTATTTAAATTTCTTTTAAAAATTTTACAAGATTTACTTCAACTTCTAAACACTTACAAAATTGTATGTTGTCAAACTCCAATAAGAATATTTTAGATAATGTTGACATGGAAATACTTATTGAAAAATGAACACTTCAAAAAAAAAGAAAAATGATCGTGCTAAAATAAGTTTACTTATTATATTGTATAGCATATTATCTTTTATATTATATCTTAGCATTTTATAACTTTTTTTTATTATATTTTAAAAAATTATATGAAATTATTTTTTCAAAAGAGTACCTACAGAAATCATGCATTTATTGTTTTCAAGAGCATACCTAGGAGGGGTAAGTGTTTCACCTCCCCCTCGAAATTTTAACGAATTTTGTAAAAAAAAGTATCGCTTAATTAATACCTAATAAAATAAATACACTTGTAATGTGTGTTAGTAAAAATATTGAACCTCCCTCCCCCCTTTCCGAAAAAAATTTTAGGCACTCCCCTAATTGCTATACTTATTTCTATAGTTTCAAGTTCAAAAAAAAAAAAAAATACTTAAGAATAACCTAAAAATATTACTACGATCTAGGTTCATTTTTTATTTCTTATCGAAATCGGCAATTTCTCAATTGTAGCACCCCCTCAATCGCCATTAACTCGCGCCGGCCCCGCATTAATACTTCTCTCTAAATGGTGCTTGATGACACAAACATGACATTACATTATGTAGGTATGTACCTACTTGTATAGTTATATTATGAACGTCGTGATTATCACCATCATTACTATTATATATAAATTATGTATACTACCTATAAACAATGTGGAATTTATTGCTGCGATTGGACATTAACGTCTGGTCGTCTCACATCAGCCAGTTTGAGTAAGTCAATCGTGTTCCATTCGACCGATTACCACGCAATCGTAAAGACGCATCGCTTTTTACATAAAGTTAATTTTAATTTAACTATCCGTCTCGTTAACCGACTTAACATACCGTTTTCGTTCAACAAACGGTCTTACTCCATTATACTTAGAACGCCAGAACCCTCACACCATCTTAATTCACCCGTTTAGACAGTCTCACGAAGACTCAGCCGGATCAATCCGTCTAAATAGCAGAACATAACAGTTATGTACCTACTACCTACATTATAAATTGTAATAGTTGGTAATGTTGATATATCAGTAAACACTAAACGAATTAACACCATACCACGTCATGGTGTCCACGGCCATAATATACGGCTGTAGCACAGAATAAACGAAATTTCATTTATCAACCATCAATGAAAAACCATGATAATAGCGTTGATAATCGAACTTCAGTTGGTCTGATACCAGTGATACCCATATCAAATCTTAGTCTAATATTATGTAGTAAATATTTAAATATGATAAATACTAAATAATAAATACCTACCGGCTACCAAACACGATGAGAGTTGTCAAATTGTAATAGCTTACGTTATTTAATATTATTTATAAACAAAATAGTGAAATGTAAGTGAGTAAACCTCAAAATTTTAAATTTAAACTCGGTGAACCAAATTAAGATCTATTCACTTTTTGGAAAAAAATCTTAACGTTTAATTCACATTGACTTTTTTTCAACCAAATAACTAATTTAACACTGGTGAGCCGACTGTCTACAATGGAGATTATGATGATTGATTGCTTGAATAATGACACGGTCAGACAATTTCTGTGTGCAACTCAGCTTGCAGCAATCAACCTCAAAGTAAAATTGAAAATTATATTCAATAAACTCGTGGTCTGATTTATATCATATTTTTATTACAGAATATATCAAAAGAAGTTGATTTTATATTGACAATCCTGTCTCATCCAATATTGCAAAAATACCCACTGAAAACTGTGTATATCACTAGATTTTTAAAAGCAATTATTAGTCAAGTATGAAACATAAAAATTAATTCAATATTTAAAATTCTATCCTGAATGTTATGAAAATAGATAACTGAATATTAATGATTGGAGATATTGTATGATCAAATATTTAAGCAAGAAGCTTAACGCACATTTTAAATTTAGGAATTTGATCTTATGTATGCATCTTTAATTTTTATTTTTATCTAAGTTTATGTTTTTATAATATCATTAAGAGATATTATTGTTAAATTTTTATAAAAATTACTTTTAATGAAAATATTTTATGTACATTTTAATAAATGAGATGTGTCAAATAATACTAATACTTTTTGTTCATGCACATAGAAAAATTGTTTATTTTTAAAGATTCAATGATTTTAGAGCTTTGGTTATTAGTTTCTTGATTACTTAATTTAAGATTTGAAAACTAACATTTAATAATTTTTGTTAAACAAGCTTAAAGTAAACTTTTTAAAATATTATATTTGACAGCTGTAATGATACTTAAGCAATATTAATAGTTATACTTGTTCTTTCAAATCATCCTAAATCTTCAAACCTTACAATGAAATCTAAATTGTTTTAATATTAATGATACTATTTATTTTGATCATTAATGTATTTTTAAATACTGATTTAATTTTTTTTATTATTATTTGATGCATTTAATGAATAGTGAATCATTATGTTTTTTTTAAATAAATTGGCACTACTAAATTAAAATTATTACATTTTCAGATGGAAAATAGTGGAAATGAATTATGCGATGAATTATATTTAAAATATGTTGAACTCATCCAAAAAAAATCTAATGAAGGACCTTTTTATAAACACTATATACTTGATAATAATATTATTAGTAATGAATTAACTGATTCAGTCATAACAATCCAAGAAAGTACGAGTATTGTTTCACAAGGAACCACAGGACTCTGTACTTGGCAGGTCATATTTTTTTTAAATTTAAAATTTTTTTAAGAAACGTTTTACTTAATAAGCTTTCATATTTCTTTCAGGCAGGTATTGCTCTAAGCTGTTGGTGTTTGAAAAATCAAGATAAACTAAACGACTTGTTTATCATCGAGTTGGGTTGTGGAACTGGGTTGAGTGGAATAAGTATTTGTTTAAACTGTAGACCAAACGAATATTGGTTTACAGACTGTCATTCAACCGTTTTAAACACCTTAAAACATAATATACAAGTTAACGAAACACATCATAAATTTAATTGTAAATATGAAATTGTTCAGTTGTCCTGGAATGATACAGAGGATTTAAAAATGTTTGAAAAGAAAAAACCAGATTTGATTCTAGCAGCTGGTAATTTCATTATACAAAATCATACATACATGTACTTACTAAAAATTATTTTTTAGATGTGATCTTTGATCCTACAACGTTTGAGCCATTATGTAGTTCATTGAGGTATTTTACAATCAATAATACAACCGAAGTAATACTTTTTTGTACATTAAGAAATCCTGAGACTTATACAAAATTTTTAGAAACCCTAAGTAAGAAATGTGACAATATTTACTCATTATTATTTAAAAATAATAATTAACAATGCAATAAAAAATATTTTACCTATTTCATTTTTTTTTTTTTTTTTTTTTTTTTCAGAAAAGTATGATTTGAAATTTACACAAAACATTTTACCTAACAATTACTCAATTGTGTTACAACAAGAATGTCCAATATATTTAATACACATAAAACAGAATGCAGTCATATCTAAAGATCATGTATTATAGTTCATTTTAAATCATTGGTACAATGGCTGAATAAAAAATAAATATTCCTTTGAACTCTTCTTTGCCATACACATACTGAACTCCGCATTTTATTTGTTTGTAGGTGGTTCATAATTGGAACTAATTTTTGGATGATATCGTCTGAAGTCATCAATAACAATATCTTTATCTTTCATCGCTTTCTGAAATAATAATACAATATTACATGTAAAAAATAATTATACTTGAATACTCTACTCTAAAAATCAATAAGAAATTGAAAAAGAATATAACTATTGTTATACATAAACTGGTATTATGATGTTGTTACATTATGCATATTTGTTTGAAAATTCCAAAAAATAGCTAAATGTGAATACTAAATAATGTAATAAAAATCAATTTTACTTACTGAAAATTAAAAATAAAACTATTATTTTTGAGACTAGAGACTACTACATATTATTTTAACACTTCAACATTTTTAGATCAAATTGAGATTATTTTTAAAATTTCCAATTACATAGTATATCAATGTATTTAAAAAGAAAAATGTTTTTATATTTTGTTAAAAATATAGTCAGTTTATTGACTATCAAGACCATAATTTAAATGTATTCTACCTGTACTGAACAAGAACAATTAATAATTTATAACTAAAGAAAATGATGATCAACTAGTTTTAAGTTTTCCACGCAATAAATAATGCATAGTGTAATATTTTTGATCATGTTACATCTTGGCAGCACAACATTTATTTGAAAAAATATTTAATAATTGTTTAAGTAAATAAACTTTAATTCAACATGATGTATAAATATAAATTTAAAATTATATCAACCAAGTTATTGATCACAAAAATATTTCATATATTTTAAACATTAAATAAAAAACAAAATCCTATTGCATATGAAAATTTTATATTTTTATTGATGAAAACAAGATGTCAAGATAAGATATTATAATGGCATAAAACATGATTAAATTAAATTTACCTTGATACATTCTGTATAATTCTTTAAAAGCTCTGAACACATGGAGTCATCATTACTCCCTTTAAGAAAGTTGTCCCTGAACCAAGTATTAAAACACTTGTCATATTCTTTTTTAAAAGATTTGCATTCGTCCATAGAATTTAAGTCATTCCTAAAATGTAATTAAAATATAATTAATTACCTTTAAGCTAACTATGTTATGTATTATTTATCACATTAATTATCTTAATGGGTGTCCAGATTGAAACAGAGTGGATTCATTAAATAGTAGCATGCTTAACAAGTCAAATTAATATAATCCACTAACATAAAATTAAATCACTAAAATTTAAAAAATTTTAAGTTTTACCACATTTACACTAAAGTAATTTATATTTTATTTCACAAAACAATGTACACTACACTTAAAATTAACCAATAATTATTCTCAATTATCGTTAAAAAAACATAATCAATAAACATATAATTAGGTATAACCTTTTTATCGTTGAATAATATAATAACACAAAACACACAAGGTACAAACTACATTAGCCATTAGGAATTTTATAATGGATTAATTTATTTAAAGAAAACACTTGTTTTCTAAGAGCATAATACAAATACTTTAGTAAATTAAGCATACTATAAGTTAATTTAACTTATCAAAATATAATTTTTCATACAGATTAATTGTATTATATAGGTATTACTTATTTATGAATACTAAATTAGAAGTGAATAAAATACATCAAAAATAATAAGCCAAACCATATTAATAATTTTTTAATAACTCTTTGGATTTAAGAGTGAGTTTAGAAAAAAACTACCTATATAAATTAATATAATAATGTATTAGCTTATCAATATATATTTTACTGTGGATAGCATTTTTCAAAAAAGTAAAATTTACATATTAGTTGATTAATTGATTTGGAAAATGATTTATTGCAATTGCATAATGCTGGTAAATTAATTAAAATTTAAAAGTATGAAGTTTCAAAATTTATAAAATAATATATCAACATCTATTTACAATTAGCAACTCAAATTTTCAGCCCATAATCATTAATCTTTATTATTGTTGTGCAATTGTATTTAATTTAAATAAATAAGTTCAAGTAGATAGGTATGTGAAGTAAAAATAAGTAAATAACTAATCAACTTACCCAATTGGGTTGAAAATATTGATACTTCTTTTTTTTGAAACTCAAAAAAAGATTCCTTAGTTTCTTACAATATTTTAATTTTGATTAGGATTTAAAACAATAGTATTAATAATTTAAACATTTAAAATTTGAATAAAATTAAAATTAACAAATTACTGAATTTTAAATTTTTAACAGATTGAAGATTTTTTACCTTATTGATAACACACGAACGTAAAGGCTGAATCTACATCATACTAAAACTACATTGCTAAAGATACTATTATCTTATTATCTTTAACTGTGACTAAAACTAAATAATTTTCACAAGTCATTCATTTTGTCAGGGTTGTCAACACTGATAAAGTTAACCAAAAAATTACCAGTGACAAATCTATTATTCCGTGATACTGATTATCAGCCTTAAGGTTTATGAACATTGAACAGCTCCTACATTTTAAATATTTTAATAAATTTGTATTTTGTATATTATTTATTGTTATTATTATCATTTATTTATTTAAAACCATAATTTACTTGGGTCATTTTTATTTCGATTATTGTTGTGAACGTGTCTCAAATTCGTCGCGAATTGAAACAAGTACTGAGATACCGCTTCTCTTGTTGAAGTTTCAAATCATCGTTTGCGCCTTAGACAGTAACAACCACCGTCACCATGGCCACTCCAACCAGCGGCAATGGTAATTTGGTGGACGAATTCGACGAAGCGTTCATGTCACTTGTTGAAATAATATCAAAAGAAGATGAGACTTTCTCGCCGGTTGACAAAGAAGAAGTACGTGTGGACATAGATCAGTGTACGATGAGATTCATCGACATCGCTAGACAACTAGAGGCGTTTTTCCTACAAAAACGGTTTCTACTGTCCGCCTTGAAGCCCGAACTGATCGTTAAAGAAGATATATCCGAATTGCGTTTGGAATTAGCCCGTAAAGATGACCTCATCCGTCGGCACTATGACAAAATCTCCATCTGGCAAAATCTGTTGGCTGATTTACAACAAGTGGCTAAATCACCCGCCCAAAACACTATGGGCCATAGTCCCATGCCAGCACCGATGCCATCTCCCCTACCAATTGGACCACCCCAACAACAACTATCTCCTCAAGTACCTGGAGGTATGGTTTCACCACAACAAGCTATGTTTCTACAACAACAGCAGCAGCAACAGCAACAGCAACAGCAGCAGCAAAGGCCTGGTCCAGTGGCTGGTGGACCAATGCCTGGTGCGTTGTTACAAGGACCATTAGCATATTTGGAAAAGACCACCAGCAATATAGGAATGGGTGATGGGAGGAGGTGACGAGGTCGGGGACGAGGAAGAGGACGCGGTAGGGCCCATCTTAGTCCCCCTTGACCACTGGCAAAAGCACAAAATTGATGCTTTTAAGCCAAACGAATTGCTACAAATAATCCTACCAATTATTTTGTGAAATCACTTGTACATTACTGTAAATGTTGTAAGTCTATGAGTTGCTTATTGTTTATAATCTGTATATATGTTTTAATATTGTATAATATGGATTTATTTTTTATTGTAAAAGCTGTAAATACTCGCTTCACATTAATCTGTAAGTGTCCAAAATAATATTTAATGTAATTTATTTGTGTTATTGAATATATTTTCATTTAATAGTATAAGTATGCTATTCTATAATGACTCTTCTGGAGGCATCAGTTGAACATAAATGTAAACATAAGGTATAATTAGTCTAAAAATTTAATACTGTTAGAATTTAAACTTCTAATGCTCATAAAAATGTATGATACTTGACACTTATCTTAATTAAAAAAAAACCTGTGAGAAATCTTTTACTAAATTTTCAAATCAATAAGATAAAGAAACTAAGTTAACAAGCAATGTTGTTTATATATGTAAGCATAAAAATAATCAATACACTTGCTTTAAAAAATATTATTTTTGTATTATTTGTAATTTAAAATATATCATAATATTATCTAGTTAATAATTCAAATTTTTATTTTATCTTTAGCCTTTAACAAAACTATCTTATTTAGATATAAAAATATATTTCTTGTTATTTGAGAAAAAGAATTAGAGAAATATTTTTTTTATATAATACATAGTATAACATAAATAATGTTTAAACTGTAACCACTGATACATAACTTATTAGTAATTACGTTTTATTTTTATTTTATCAAATAACAACAATAATATTAATGTATTAGAAAATTTTTTTAAAAAAATCAAAATTTTGAATTGTTCCCCTGGAACCTACATATATATACTGTATATATCGAATAACAGCATCATCACTGCTTAACATTAAAAAAATTGTTACTTAAATATTTATAAATGTATCTATGATTTTCTGATGGTAACATTTTTGTCAAAACTATTTGACAAAAAGCTTTATTTTTAATGAAAACCTAGTATTTTAGAAAATTCATTTTTACTTAGAAAATAAAAAGTATAATGATCACCATAATTTTAGATACTTAAATAAACATTTTTTATTATTGGCTATCATTACTCAATTAGTATATTATTTAAAATGTCATTAGGTTCCTGTAATATTTTTAAAACTAAGATATAAAAAGTAACTTTAATTGACATTAAGTTATTTTTTTAACTCAAATAACATAACTTATCAAATAAAACAAGAAGTAATTTAACAATTATTGAATTACAATATTTAAACATAATTCATAATAATATTTATTCCAAAAAAAAAAAATTAACTTTCCCAAGACTGTGCCTGGAATTTGTTATACTTGAATTATCTGAATTGTTGGTTGATCAAATCATTTCTTCGGTAAATAGGTAGAAATATTTGTCTTATAACTTAGTTGTACACAAAGAGTATAATACTATGTATTCCTTATAGCTTAGTCAATGATTATATTTTTAAATATATTTATTATAATTATATCTCATAATTGTTTACATTAACACATATTTATATTGTTTACCTCATTTGTCTGAGGTTGGTTATGGCACTATAATTACAAAATATAGGGCCTAATACAAAATACAATCATTTGCTTATATCTTAAAATTTTATACAATTGGCCATCATTTCATTAAGTGGTAACCCATGTTAATATTATAATTTATTATTTATAATATGGAATAGACTTTAAAAATGCTTGTAATGGATTATAATAAAGTAATGTATAAACACTGTAATTTGATTTTAAAAATAAATTAATAGTTACAACACTTAATGACATACAAACACATGTTTCAATTTTTAAGATCTAAGTCTAACGAAGATAATGAGAAAAAATTGATTTTCACTCAATCAATAATGTAATATTAACATTATCGTCATCAATAATAATACAGCTAATTTAAAATCGGCCGAACAAATAAATTAAATGGCATCGGACCATAAATCAGTCTAGAAATATAAACATTTACAGTACAACATAAATAAATTAAGTATAAAATATATAACAATGACAATCATTTTTCAATAGACATGTTCCACCACATCGCAGGTGGTAAATGTAATACTTAAATGAATAATATACAAAAAATAATTTTTCAACACCTCGTCAATGAAACGCGGTGATAAAAATTCTTATTTTTTTTTTTTTTTTGTTAACGCATAGTTACACTGGCTTGGAACATAGTGTGCAATAAATCTCCAGAAAAATAATTGATGGTATAACTTAATAAAATTATATAATATTAGTCCTTAACAGTACAGATAAAATAATTTAAAGAATTGTGCGATTTAAAATTTAAAAAAAAAAAAAAATTATTATTATTATTATTATTATGAGTACTATTGACAAATATGAGGGGGACAGACGTATAATCGAAATAAGTTGCGCACATCAAACTGAAATACATTTACACAGAATGAATTAAATGACATATTTTTGAGGTTTTAATTTTTAAAAAAAAAATGCACGTAGATCTATTGTGTATGGTAAAAAAAAAAACAAATGTGTTTAGGAAACAAAGGCTGTGACGACTGCATAGCAATTGTAATAGTTGTAATAGTAGTAGTGTGGTAGTAGTAATAGTAGTAGTAGTAGTAGTAGTAGTAGTAGTAGTAGTAGTAATAGTAGTAGTAATAGTAGAAGAAGTAGAAGTAATAGTTGTAGTTGTAGTAGTAATAGTAATGGTAGAATAATACATGAAACGGCAGCGTTCGGTCAGAAGCGATACTTGGTCTGGGGCGATCGTCGTTGTTGTTCGTCGCCCTCAAATGTTTCTCATCCACCGGTGCCGGGCGTCCACCGGTCGAACTCGATGCCGCTATCCGGACTCTGGACGGCCGTCGACAGCGGGCTCAGGTAGCTGGACGTCGACGAGCCCGTCGAGTTGGCCGACTGCTGTTTGGGCTGCGTCCGGGCGTCCAACAGCTGCTTCTCGAACGAGTGCAGCTGCTGCATGAAGTGGAAGTTCGGGTCGATGTTCGCCTTGCGCTTCAGCACCATGTTGTACGCCTCGTTGAGCGTCAGTTGCCGATGGGCCATCAGGTACGCCAGCATCACCGTCACCGAGCGCGATATGCCCGCCAGACAGTGCACCAAGACGCCTTTCTTTTGGGCCCGACTCTTATCTGTAACCCAAAACACAACGTTATAATGCTATATAACTATTATATTATATACTATGTGAATAATAATTGTGGAATAAAAAAAGAACAGTGTTTATTATTGCTCAATTATATTTCAGAGATGTAAATGAAATTGCGATTGAAGTTCCGAGGAAGAACAATATAAAAAAATTAATAAGTTTCGTTTGACATCTCTGTTCGCATACTCGTTACAACTTGCAAGGTTAAACAATAAAATATTTATTGATGTTTCAGTTAAAAACTTTGATGTAGGTACAATAAAAGTGCGGAAAGCATGGTTTCAAAAATTTTAATGCTAAAACTCATTTTTGATATTGCTACGTAAAAGTTTACCAAGGATCACTAATTGAATACCTAAGATACACTGCTTATTTATCATACAATTTAATTAATAATAATTAATATTATTAAATAATTGCAAGTTGTATTAACAATTCGGTTATTTGTTTCATTTGTTCCTGCTTACAGGTAAACGTATTCATTAACGACTGAAAGTGAGAAGAGCAGACCAAGAACGAGTAATTATAATTAAAAATGGAAAGTATTGAATACTTGAGATAGATTAAGGAATAACAAAAATCGGATTCAAAATGATCCCTATCAAACGTTTAATCCTTAAACATAATTTTTTTTTATTATTATTATTAATTAATCATATCGATATGCTAAAATTTTGACAAGTTTAATAAACTTAATAGAGTTCATCACTTTTTACTCAAGAGAAAAAATCGCAGTTGAAGAAAAATAGATTAATATTTATTAATACGTCACATTATTTGGAAACATCAGACAACGACAATATCATCATCATGTAATTAAAAACACAAAAATCGTAGCAAGTCGTATCGTTTTTTTTTTTTCGTGCAAGCCTGGCGGCTTCAGGGGGAAATTTTGCTTGCCGACCGCGCGAAATAATATTAATACATATTAGTACATAACACATGTAATACAAGTTGTAATTATATTTCAGAATTGTGCTATATTATACAATATACCCTAACATTAATAATAACAGAGGTCATATTCTGCCACTTTCCGCCTTGCAATTTACAAATGCAAACAACCGCCCACCTATGAACGCGACGGAAGCCCGGCATGATCAACACCAACCACGTGACTCTTAAAATAAATACACGCGCGCACGCACACACCAGTAGAGGTATATTTAAAGGTGTAACTTGTTACGTTTTATTGTGGTTATTTAAGTACTTAGGCTCTTTCACCCACGCAAATATAGTAGCGCCCTGCGCCAGAGAGAAATGTTGGTAATTATTATTACATCATGATATCAATCCATTATGATACGTGCACATAATAATATAGTTGAGTTCGCAGATTTTGCTATTTTGGTCGACCCAGTAAGGTACAAACACGCTCTGATGCATCAACGACAGGCTGTCGTATAATAATTGCACGCGTTTTTATTAATAATTATAACGTATTACTTATTAGTATTAAAATAAAATTGATGTTTCCGTTGATATTACTGGAAACCCGCATCGATCACGAACGGATATGGTACCTGTTTGTTTTCGACTTCGATAACAAAAATACACATAGCGAGTCAATTATGCGGGTCATGCGCACACTACAGCAGTCGATATACGATTATATGGAAAATAATATATAGTTCATTATGTACAATTTATTACCAACGCTCACTATGAACGATAAGCCAGTGTGATATAGGTGAACTTTACTCCCGGCGTTATTTTCAGTACATCGGTAATTACCGGTGTTATAATTTCAAATACCGCATGTCCTAAAGCCGAAAGACCTCACCATCGGATGTTCTGCCACCACGTAACAATAGAGCAAAATTCGTACAATAATATTGGTGACGATATTAATAGTTTAATAATAGTATACCTAAATGACTAAATGGGTTTACATGAATATTATTCCCAACTTAAACAGACTACAGTTTACAAGACAGACTAGAAGTGTGTAAATAGTCCATAGAGAATATTGAACAATGATTATAACGTGTTCAACAATTTTAACAATATTTTGATAAAAGGGATAAAATTATTGAATGATAGATTTGAATTTAATACCGATTCACTGCTACGACGCTACATTACATTTTTTTTAGACGAATGTTCAAATTGCTTACCATATAAAAAATAGAAATTAATTAATTTAACATTTTTTTTTTTTTTTAAATAAAATAATAAATGATTATAATTTTAAACTCGAAATGTTAGTAAAAACCTTTAACTATAATTGTGTATCATAAAAATGATAATAATAACAACAACATAATTACAAAAAAATATATATTTGTATTAAACACGTAAATATATATCCAGTTTCACACGTTAAAATTCAAATAATTTAGCTTGGAATATTATCATAGGTACCTTAAATATTTAAGAATCACTAAGTACTCGCGTAGCCACGTGTGCGTAAACGTAGAGGAAATGCATGTAAATGGCACAACTAAAAAGCACCGTGAGAAAATCAACACACTATTACGGCGGTGCGTTTTAGCTTCGGTTAAAAAAACAATAGGCAAATCTAAATCTCAGAATGCGTTGCCTAATCTTTGTTATCTTTATTCGAAGAATTACCCACACTCGCGGACAATGGACACAATATAAAATATATAAATATAAATAAACACTCAGTAAACTCACAGAAAAAATAACGCTTATACCAATATTAAGCTTTGATTGGAATTCTAATTTTTGAAATTTTTAAGTTCCTATACTTTTATAAGCTGTATTTATAAATAATTGGATCAGAATGAAATTTGAAAAGGTATTTTTTTTCGATTTATCATTAAATCTATACCTAAAATCAATGATTATAAATATTAGTATTTATACTAATTGTATATAATGATTCAAATTGATTTTCTGAGCTTTTTCACGTCGGTTACTACAACCTATATGCATTACCGCATAAGAAACGTGCTTTATATTTTGTAATTTTTAAAAAAATCATCCTAGTTATACATAAGTTTTAAAATGAATAACAAATTAATGTGTGCCCAGACAAAAATCTGAAACATTGACCTAACACCATCCATTATCAACGTACTCGATCTCGAGAGTGTATAAAAATTATTTTAAGTCGCATTCGATATTAACTGTTTAATACTTGTTAAATGTATGCGGACGGCTCACGGGAAAACAAAAAACGGAAATATCAACAGGACGTTACGCGTACAGGAAGGCGGGAATCCGCTACGAGGTATAATAATATTATATATTACGTACGTTGCGGCCATTGTACATGAACGCGACCGACTGCCGTGCTATTGTGTTATTTTTTTAAATCCATTTCCGTCGTATATCATTATTATTAATATTATTGTTTGTAACTAAGGAAAAATATTATGAAATAAGTAATTTCATTAAAAAATCAAACCTATACCGTAAAATACAATAATATATTATTAGGTATATGGTATAAATATAAATAAGAAGCATACAACGACGATTTTTACTAGAAAATATCATGCCCTCACTTACCCTTAAAAAATAATCCTAACTACCTCAAGGCTCATCAACTGTAATTTATATACATAATTTTTTCATTCGTCATTTCACTTAAATCACCATCCTTACTCAAATCACCAAAGGTCAATAATAATACAGATTTTATTTATTTCAAGAGATCCAGGAAACAGTTCAGTGCTGTGCGAGTCTACATCCATCAACTATCGACGACGGGAGAGGGCAATGTAATTAGGCCTGTATAGTTTATCGAGAATATTTATTTGATGAGATAGAAAGAGACGGGAGATGGGAGATAAGCACGATAAAGTGCAACTACGCCCGTGATAATTATAATGTTACACCGAAAAAGTTGTGGGCAAATCTATTGACACTGGCAAATATTTATCATCATAAATTTAATATAAAAACGCTGTCTAACTCAAACAAACAACTACAAATAAAATTTTACAATTCATCGACAACTACACCAACGTCACAAACACAATATAATATTTTAATTCATAAAAATATTAACTTGTTAAACTATTTTTCAAGAACGAGAAAAAGACATAAGCCACAAACATTTTATTAGTTATTCTTAATTAATAGTACATATATTTTATACGCGTCGACTACAGACATAATTAATTGCATTCTTTCCTTAACCTAGTGCGTTTAAATGTCAGAAATCTTACGCCGGAACTAATCCAGTGAGTCAGAAACTACTCGCGTCGTACGATATAGATTAAAATCGATCCGAACAACGCCAATTCGCCTGCAGTTTTTTTCATTAGTAACCGTCTCTGATTAAAAAATTCATACAAAACATTTTTCTTTTAGTCCACTCTACTGCGTTGACAGTTGTAACCCATAACGTGCAGTAGGTAATCTATTTAAAAGCGTATACATGCCCGGAAATATAATAATAGTAATTTATATTTAATTAAATAAAAAATATATAATTATTTTGTTATTATCGTTACATAATTGATATTTTCTGATTTAATAATAATAATTTTTAAAAAAGACGGTTACAAGACAGTTTGAAGGGTCTAACGTAAAGTCTTCTAATTATTTAAAGATACATCTATTATACATACGTTATAGGTACATATAAATCGATAATACTGAAAACAGTATTCAAAATGTATTTATTTTAAGTAAAAATATTTCAATATTTGTGTAATGATAATAAACGAATAGTTGCGAAGTTATAAATTCGATATTATGAGACGACAGTAATTACTTAATAATTTGTAATATTGCCACCGAAGATATCTTAGCGTCTGATCGATTCTGGAGATAAGGATGATGGCTAAAGCTTACACGAAACATCAATACATATTCACTTATATTCCTACATATCGGAGTGAGTGCTCAACTTCTTTGCATTTTTGTTACACCTACTAAGTCTTCATTACTACAAATGTTATTCTTTTTATTTATTTTTACATTGTAATGTAGAGCACTGTAATCTAATTTATAACTAAAAAAAAATCAATTCACAAAAAAATTAATATTTTTTGTAGTTAACCTGTGTCATTACTCATTACCCACGACGAATAATTCGATAAGTCAGGAAACTTCATCAGGTCAACGAATAGTGGCCGATAATCTCAAACGCGGTGGTCTGATGGTCGGGTGCACGACGAGATAATTCGTATCTGGATCGACAGGGTGGTGCGTGTTATCATCATTGCCAGAGGTGTGGGTGCATTGCCGACGGCCCTTCCCTACTGACATACAGTATACACCGTCGGCTTTGACCCGGATATTGATCGAGACAAAGTGCAGGAGCGCATGCGCGCAACGACCAATGCGACGGCCCACTCATTCAAAGGTTCAGTTCATTGATAAAATATCTCTCTACCATCTCACCCTCTAAAACACTACACTCCAACTACTTTTACTACTACTCCTCCAAACCACCCCTCCTAGTATTCCGTAACTTGTTGATAGGGATAGCAACCTTTCCTCCACTCCACCCTCAATCAGTTTCATTCCGTGCGCGTGGGAGAATTTCCATTCCGACATATACGTCGGCAGACTGCGTGGGCGTCTTCATTCACGGAATTAACCAGCGTGCGTATGTACAAGAATACTCACGCACCACGAGTAGAATGTATTATATATACGATAACGACACCAACACTAAATATGTGTCCAAAGTTAGAAATTTCATGAAAATAATATCACATTGCCAAGAAATCACACGCTAGACGTTTTGTTAAATATATACTTCAAATACGCGTTTAATTATAGGTGTACGACGAAGGAAAAATAAACATAATTTTAACGCACCGTACAGCGACGGACGGACGTTTAATTAAAATTCTTTTTGGGGTTATTTAAGGCGTTAAAAAATGCACAGTCGCCAAAAACTCCTGGAACACGTGTTTCTTGTCCACGGTCCGTCAATATTGATTCACACTAATCTATTTATGAAAATATATATAAATATATAATATTATATACTCGCGCTCACCATTATTGCATTAATAGTTATTAGTGTTATCATAAGTTATAACTTGTGATCATATATCTATGACAAAATATTTTAAAAAATGAATACGTTACTCAACTGTCAAAAATTTGAGAAAATAAAAAAATATACACGGGTCATGCATATTATGGATTTCTTTTAAACAATTGTATATATTTTATAAATCATTATAATGTATAGGTAATAAATTATAGTAACTATATAATTATACTAATCTCACTGAACCTTATATCATGTTTATAGAATAAAATAAAAAATCTTTCCAATACCATAGTTTAAAATTATTAACATATTATAAACACAACCAAAGTTTTGAAAATTTAACGTGTACACACAATTGGTAATATTTCAAAACTCACAAGGTTGAAACGATACATCAGGTTATCGTCATGTATTAGGTATAGGTACTGTGCATTGAAAATTTCAATAAAAATATGTGACATCACTTAGAGATCTAAATTTAAAAAGGAAATGTTCAACATATGTGGCACGATAATACATAATATGTAAAGTACGTACTTTACATACTATGTATTATCTTGCCACAGATGTTAATATATATTATATATGTACCTTATCTAAAAAATTAAACGAATTTGGAATCCGATCGCAAATTAGTTGAACTGATAAAATAATTTACTATAAAAAATAACTCACCGATGAATTCTATTGCTTGAGGGAAAAAGCTAGCAAGGTTTTGTCCGATATGATCGGAAATTGGTATCTGCATGTACTTGATATGTCCTTGTTCTTCGAAAGTGTTAGGTAAGTCAGACGTAACATTTAAAATATACTAAAATAAAAATAAAATTGATTAATCGTGGATTATACAATATTAATAATATATTATGATTTAAGTTTAGATACTACGATGTAGTCAGGCACCAGGCATTTTGCAATTAGGCAGTCCGTTAATATATTTTTTATATTTGTATCGAATCAGCTGATTCATTTTCTGGCTTATTGTATATGAATAATAATAGCAGTTAGAAATTATTTTTAGAGCCGTTTAAAAACTATCTATATAATTGCACCAGACAGACGACAATAGACTAAGGGTAATTACTTATTATACATGATTATAAAATTATAATCTTATATCAATACACGATCAAAAGCCAGTCGTTTGGAAATTAGTTGTAGTTTTTAAAAGTACAATTACCCTATAGAGTCAAACAGTGAAATAGCTACAGACGCTGCAAGGAAACCGTACCGTAAAACCCTAAACTTGTTAAATGAACTACTCTACTGAAAAAGATTGCAAAAAATACAAATTTATTAGTTTTTTTGACATATAAAATTACCTCTATCCGGTGTTTCTTAAGCCATTCCAAGTCTTCCGAATTAGTTGCGTTGCCGAGGAACAGATCGGGTAGGATCTCTACGGGGAAGTCACGGTCTTCATCGTAGCCAAGTATCGAACTGGAACTATCTACGTCTGACAGACTATCGATGTCCGAACCCCCAGAACTTTCAGGTGATGTGCTGAGTACGGATAACAATTGGTGCTGGCGTCGTGCGTTCCGGGTATGTGGCACAAGCGACGGGGTGATGTGCAACGATCGCAAACCCATCAAAGTATCCGTGTCACCGATGAAACCTGTCATGTCGTCGTTAGCTCGGGCGCAACGTTCCAAAAATGATTCACACCATTCTGGATACGATTGTTGAAACGCATCAAAACTCTCTAAAAAATATTAACGTGATCATTACAATAACAATACAAGAAAACCATTTAATATCTTTTAATACTAATCAAATATTTCTTGTCATAAAGAAACGGGAAGTGCGCAATTATTTGAAATCTAATCAATTTCGACTTAAAATAAATATATAGTTAATACCTAATCTTCACATGTGTGCACATCAGTATACAATTTATTTGAGTCCGAGACTATACCGTTTCATTTTAGAGCTAACGAGTTTTCTATTACTACGTTTACTAAGTAATAACTAATAGTAGTTGTTACTTAATACTTGCTATATAAATAACTTTTTTACGAGTATTAAACCAAAATCGTATTTATTACTGACGTAGTAACGTCTATCACAGCGGTTCACGACATTTTAACATGATACATTTTCATTCTTTTCGAGTGAAGGGTTATTTGTGCAAAGATTTATTATGGTTCTATAGTAACAGGCGATCATTTTGTTTATTTGAGGAAAATGAATTAAAGATATTTAGATCATAATGTGGAAAAATAGTTTCATATTAAAATTAAATTTACGACAATCTACATACCTAATTTTAAATAATAAATGGTTCATTTTTCCAGCATATTTATCAAATCCGAAGAAACTATATTATATTATTATATAATCGAACATTTATTATAAAAGGGTTGATTTTTATAGAAAACATATTTTAGACTTTTGTCATGTCTTTTCAATGGCCTCAGTGCATCGGCGCATTATTTACAAGACGAGGCGTCAATGTTTTAATTTATTACTTCTCATAAAATCCTAGAATAACAAGCTGTGTCCAAAACTTGTTGTTTATGGATTTATTGAAGTGTTTAATACAAATCCAACATTATTTATATACACGAATTATATATATATATACATATATATAATAGATAAATTCTTAACAACTTAACGTCAACTATTTTGCTTGTATTATTATACACATTATACGACGTAAGTCGTAACATATGGATGATATTTATTTAGATGTTTAGTTCATTGTTAATAAGTATATATAAGTGGTAATTTATAATATTCTCTAACCCCGAGGTGTGTCTTTCAACATATCCTAACATATGGTAACAACATCCTGACGCTTCAGGCCTATTCATAGAAATCAGTTCGTAACACATATTCGGACAGACAATATGCTTAACTTTAAATTCAAAAACATAAACATGACAATATGCAATTTAAACGCAAAAAATTTAATTTAAATTATTATTGACAATATATGTAAAATAAATAATTTTTAAAAAAGTGTATACATACTCGTATATATATATATATATATATATATATAAATCAAAATAACCATTTATATCATTTCGTTTTAATTAGACATTCTACTTTATATAGCAATTTCATTAATAATCTTCTATAATTAAATTTTTATCTGTAAAGTAATAATTTTTGAATTTCATTTATAACAAAAAATATCGTCATTGCAAAAATCATAAATAAATGTCGAATGTATAAGACGAATCTTTATTTTTCAAACGAAAATAAAGACAATCAATGATATTATATTATGTCATATACTAACGTGTAGATAAAATATATTTTATCTCAAAGAAAATTTAAAAAATTTCCATTGGAGTTAACAAATAGTATTTTTAACGTGTTATAAAATAAAAATTTCCACCACCCACGCGCGCACTCGTTTTTTTTTTATTTCGTTAGAGTAAAGAAAACATTCCGCATAACTGTGTGTGTGTGTATGTGGGTTCGCGTTGAGTGGGCGCCGCCTTCACCGCTCCTGGTCGCCTCGTGGTAAATAACATTGGCGCTTCTCACAAAGGGTCCCCGTCCTCGTCATCTGGACCGGGCGGCGGCTGTAACAACGACGCATCGATCGGCCAACACCGACCGGCTCAAATATACAATATAGACATATAGTATGTACTACTCAGATGGGTACCCAACCGGAAATCAAAATTGGCCTACCGGAAACCGGCTGCCAATAAAACCGGATGATTTATTAACGAACGCACGACGATGATGTACCCTGCCACCACCAAATCCCAATATTCTTGTTCACAGCACAGTATATATAAAATAGTATTATAACATAATATACCAAGTGTTTGTCAAGTCCGGACGCGTTAATCCTCAGACAAAAAAAAAATAATAACCAACCGATCTAGTTATTATTATCGTTGTGTACACTTTAGAACACTCCTCTTGAGCGGTTTACAGCAATAATCCGAATAAATCATAATTTGAAGAACTATGAATAAAAATATCTTAATAAATTACGTGAAAAACAAACAAACGCATCCGGTACTCATCGAGGTCCTGCGCGCTTAATCGTACACGAAAATGGGTCAAGACGAAACATAATGGCGACCCACGTAAAATAACAACTGACAACCTACCCCCGGGAACGCCTACTCGAACAAAATTTTCGATAAACGGCTTGTATTAACCGGTTTTAATAGTATTTTTCCAAATTCAAAATCGCCCACCGTCGTCGCGGTTTATAAAAATAATCTTAATTGAAAAATCTTTTCATTATAAAAATAATGATAGTAAATAATGCTCATAGGTCAAGGGAGGAATCAGGCAGTGCTGGCCGACACTCCGCACGTGGTATTTCCATCCGTCGGGCTACCACGACTATGCGCACGAAGTGTGCTTCATTGAATACAAAAAACTGACGGTGGAAAAGCGCGTGATCACGTAACACATACTACATTACATACAGACCTTTTAACAAAAAAACCCCGCCACCTAACCGTTCCAGCGACAACCCGCACGTTTCAAAGGCCCGATTATATCGATCCTCCGGCCGAGGCCCATACAAATATATAGGTCAACTCTGCGTGTACTATATTAACTTACTGTGATCACAGACCGCGCACTATTTAGGAAATACATCACGTCCCGAGCCGGATTTGTTGTTACCATAACCATATTAACACCTCATACCACCGCCAACAATCAAAACGAAGTGTTATTTTTAAACTCTACATTATATTATTTTTTTTTATTAATATATTGACGGTTGCGAACTCATTCAATTGATATTGCTGCAACACTTATTTGTATTCACCGCTACAAAACGATACGATTAATTATTATTTATGAAAATAAATAATCACATTTAAAATCTTTATCAACCATTATTGAACGCTTATTGCCCAACATTAGTGGCCAAATATTATTATTGATAACATTCATAATAAATGTATTTATTTTACATTATTAAACTATTAAATAAATCATGAATAATAGTATCTTAAATAATAGGTAAAATTAATAAGGAACCTCCGGAAACTAATATAAATAGGTGCTATAATTTTTATAAGATAAATAAAATTATATCTACTTCCAGAGTTCTATTACTTTTATATAAATACTAGGTGGTTATCCACTTAATTATACTTTTCATTTTATAATAAACAAGAATAAATTTTAACTCAAAAATTCCAATATTTTTAAATCTTAAACTGCAATACTAAAAATACAATTATTAAAAACAATCATATTAATGGTTTTGCATAAATCCTTACAATTTTAAATTGTTTATAAAATAAAAGGTATTATCTAGCTTATGTTCCGTGACGCGGAGTTCAAAGTTTAAATTGTATAATAAGATAAACTATAGGTCATTTTTTAACGTATTAAAAGTAGTATTGCTGCTTTAAGTAGATCAGTTCTTATTATTACACAATAATACATATAAGTAATTAAACAGAATAATCAAAGTTAATTGCATTCTAAATAAATGTATTGTCATATAATAAAAAATTATAATCATGGACTGATGGATTTACATTTAAATTCTTTAAATTAATTATACTAAACAAACAAGTAAGTAAAATGATGATTACTAAATAATAACATAGTACCAAGTATGTTATTTACATACATAATACAGAATGCTTACGTCTCAACTACTTAGTCCCTAGTAGGCAATTTACAGCAACACAAATTAAAAGAAAACATACCTAATGTCATATACATATTTTGGACGCTGCAAATGGTAAATAATTCAAAGTGTCTAAATATAAAATGGGTGTTTATAGACACGCCACCGGATATCCTTTATAGAACACAGAGTGCGAGAAATCCGCACCAGAGTCGTATATTTTTAAAATAGGTCGTATGTTTTTCAAATTCCCAGCAGTAGTAGAAACGGAAACCGGGCGACTTATTTTCGGACTAGGCGTGTACGGGGTACAGGTTTTTGCACGCCAAGGCCTCCCGCTGAAAAGGAAGCGTGCAACGGATCCTAAATGCCGGAAATGTACATCCGGTTTAGTTTAAAAACACACGGCAGGATATATACATACGCGTGCGCACGCGCCGGATACCGGCAGTTTGGTTGTAAAACAAAACATGCGCTCTTTCCGGCTATTCAATTGGATCTTTTCGCCCGTTAAAAAAAAAAACTTACTCAAATAAAATCCCTCTATTTTTATACTTAGAAAAAAGAATATTAAATGAAAAACGTGAAAAATGGGTAACTCATAACTGTACCACCCTTAAGTGCGTGGGGGGTATAAACTAAAAAACATAATGTCTATCCTGAGCAGTTGCCGTTTACTTGACTTGTTTGCGTGGGAAACGAGTAAAATTATACAGCTACACAACTACTACGACCGATTGACGATTCCGGTTTATCATTGATTAACCAAAGACTGGCGCGCATATCTTGTGAATGACGTAAATGTAATTCATGAAGAAAAAAACATTCAAAATCGTTTTGAGTTATATCCGGCGGCAATGTCAAATATGTATACATTCTCCGATACAAATACGTGTACATTATACACGTTCATACCGATAATGAGTATTTAATGTATATTAAAGTCAATACTCTATAGATACCCGTTGCATAACATTTTTACACGTTGTCTAAATGACCCGCTAAGAGAATTTTGATTATTTATTCATTGCGTAGAAAACAACAGATTTATTCGCAAATATCGTCAGCACAACAAAGTATTACGACCGGGCACAATGTTGCCAGGTTTTATTTTTTGTTTATAA